CTGTAAATTTATAAACCTTCCTTGGGTCAATACCTAATAACCTACCAAGTTGGACTTAAATCGATTCACATGTTTTTGTGTGATTGGGGTACAAAGTTTTTGTGACAGACAAACATACATACATACATACATACATACATACATACATACATACATACATACATACATACATACATACATACATACATACATTAAATTTTTTAAGAACATTTTTGGAATCTCTGATGTCCATAATAACTAATCATGTTAACATTTTGAAGTTTTAAGCAATGTACAGACAGACATCTGATTTTATTAATAAGGATTGTGCTTTAAAAAATTTTTTCATTAACGTTTAAAAAATTTTGTCTTAGCCCTAAGGTGGACACTTTTTTGGCCACAAGGTGGTCACTTTTGATTTTTTACGAAAATGTGTTTATACGCCATATTTATCAACATTTATCACTGTGAATGTGAATTTTATCAATTTTTAAGTTTTATGATGAATAATAATGAAATAGAATTATTTTCAAAATTTTACCTATCTAATACATACACAAAAAGGATCATTTTTGACGAAAGGACAAAGTGCAAAAAAAAATATGTAATATGTTTCTGTGATCCTGAAAAACAATTAATATTAAATATAAACAACTTAGTAATACGTTTTTTACATTTTTTTTAAACTTTTTTATAGTGAATTTTTGTATGGTGACCACGGGGCCACTTTTTTAAAAGTCGAATTTTCAACTTTTTTTAAAAAGTGCCATAACTTTTTTTTTATTAATGAAATGAAAAAAACTTTATGATAAGAAGTTAGGTAATAAGATAAAGTTTCAAACGCCGTATTATTGACCTTTATATATAATTCCATTTGAAATCTACAGTCGTTCAAAAGATGGGTGACCACCTTAGGGCCCTCTCCCCTATAAAAGTTTTCAAAAAATAATCAAGTTTTAGAAGAATTTTGATTATAAATATGACCATGATTTCTCAGAAATTTTAATAATAAGTCCAAAATAGTACATTTTTATTTGCCTTATTCGAAGATAACTAAATCTTAAAACATTATGATAAAAAAATTCTAAGAATTAAGTAGTTTTTAAAACTATTTTAATGTAATTTTTCGAAAATAATTGAATTTCTTAAAAGAGTTTTTGTATTATTTAAAAAAAACTAATTAATTTTCTCTGATGAATTTTAATTAAATATTTTGAAGATGATTTTTTTCTCCAAAATGATAAAAATAATTCTAAAATGTTATTATTTTCTTGTATCTGTTTGAATTTTAGGAAATATGTAATTGAAAGTTCTGAAAATACTAAATTTAAAAAAATTAGAAGCTAATTTTCATTTTTAAATTTAACCTTAAAGATTATTCATTAAAATTTTTTATAATTCAATTATTTTGATAATTTGCAATTAAAATTCTTCAAAAGTTGATTTTCAAAAATTCTAACAAAATACTTTCAAAAGGTTAATTATTTTCAATTAAATTTTACAAAATTTCAATTATTCAAAATCTTTTTAATTGTATATTTTGAAAATTTAAATAGAAAAATGATTCAAAAATAATTTTTGAAAGATTTGATAGTTATTTTTTGCACTATAAAAATCGAAATGAGTTACATTTAATAATAAAAAATATGAGATTTTGTTGCAATATTTGGAAGAAAAGTCGAAAAAGTCGCTATTTTTGAAAATAAGTCGAAAAAATCTCAATTTTCTAAATTTCCCTGACAAAAAATATTTTCTCCTGACTATACTGACAAAAATTTTATTTTACTGACATTTCCCTGACTTCAATAACTTTCCTGGCATGTGGTCACCCTGACAGTATGTTTTTTTTCTATTTTCATTTCCAAAACCTAATTTCTTTTGAAGAAATTGACCAAATTGAATGAACCCTGAACCAAAATAAAACAAAATAAATAGATATATAGAATAGAGGAAAATTATAGAATATCGAATTCAAAATGGCGGACTAAATTAACAACATTTTTAACAAATTTCTGATCTATTCAAATTGTGGTATTTTAATGTTTTTGAGGTCGCTAAATCCAAATATGATGGTAAAGTTAAAAAATTAAATATGGCGGACCCAATATGGCGGACGAAATTTTTTTTACAATTATTAGATTTCGACAAGACTTACAATTAGTACTTTAACGTTTTCGAGGTCGCTGAATTCAAATATGATGTTAAAATTTAAAAATTCAAAATGGCGGATCTAATTCAAAATGTCAGACATAATTTTTGCAATGATTTCACAGGCTAACAAAATTCAGGGTGTCTACTATTTTCGTTCAACAAAATTCCCGGTTATTTCCCGACTTTGTCCTAATTTTTCCCAGTTTCATTTCTCATCAAATTTAAATTTATTTGATTTCGAACATAATTAAATCTACAAATGGCTTCCAAAATTTTTATTAGAGTTTTTTATGAATAGTTAAATTCTTTTGACAAGTTTCTTTAAATTTTTTGAAAATAATGTTTTTTTCTAATAATTTTAATTAAACATTTGGAAAATAATTAAATTAAACAAAGAATTTTTTCAATTTTTAAAAATAATCTTGTCTGTTAATAATAAAAATTTGATTAATTCAATGTTATTCAAATGTATTGATACCTACTAATTGAAATTCTGCAAAGAATTTTATTATTTATAAAAGTTATTGAATCCTTTAAAAGAATGTTATTATTTATGAAAATAATTAAATGTTTCCGTAGAATTTTATTGAATTTTTTGAAAATAATTGAATTGTGGAGAAAAATTTAATTATTTATAAAAATAATTGAAATTTTGAGGAGAATTTAAAAAAATTTTTAAACATAATTGCATTTCTGCGAAGAATTTTATTACTTTTGAAAATAATTAACCCCTTGGCTGTCAACAAGATTTCCACTGTTTAAGCCAAAAGTGTGTTGAAAAAATTTTTAATGGATTTTTATAAAACTTGGTACCTTAAGGTTTCTGGGGTCGCTGATTACAAATCTGCTGTTACTTTTTCGAAATTCAAAATGGCGGATCCAAGATGGCGGAAATTTTTCAAAATTCGTCGAATTTGATTAAAACTTGTTACTCGGGGGGTTTTAAGGGTCGCTGATTACAAATCTAACATTAGTTTTCTAAAATTCAAAATGGCGGATCGAATATGGCGGACAACGAAATAAAAAATTGACCAGATTGGCTTGAAACTTAATACTTGGGGATTTTTAGGGTCGCTGATTACGAATCTGAAATCAGTTTTTCAAAATTCAAAATATCTGGTTCAATATGGCGAAAATTTTTTAAAATTTATTGAATTTGTTTGAAACTGGTTAATCTGACATCAGTATGGTAATTTTTGGTGAAATCAAATTTCGATAAATACCCTGAAAAAATAATGACAGATTCGTAATCAGCGACTCTAAAAACCCCCGAGTATTCAGTTTCAAGCCAATCTGATCAATTTTTTATTTCGTTGTCCGCCATATTGGATCCGCCATTTTGAATATTGGAAAACTAATGTTAGATTCGTAATCAGCGAGCCTTAAAACCCTCGAGTAACAAGTTTCAAGGAGATTCGACGATTTTTGAAAAAATTTCTGCCATCTTGGATCCGCCATTTTGAATTTCGAAAAAGTAACAGCAGATTTGTAATCAGCGACCCCAAAAACCCCCGAGTACTACGTTTCAAGTCAATCTGATCAATTTTTTATTTTGTTGTCCGCCATATTGGATCCGCCATTTTGAATTTTGGAAAACGAATATCATATTCGTAATCAGCGACCTCGAAAACCCCCGAGTAACCGGTTTCAGGAACATTTAAGAAGTTTTTAATCACCTTTTTTAAGATGCGCATATATGCGTCATGAACCACTTTTGGCCAGTTTTGTTTTGCGCATAATATATGCGTCAGCGACAGTCAACGGGTTAAATTGTTTTTTTTTAGAATTTTACGGAAATTTATGAAATAATTGAATTCTTTGTTAAGAATTTTTTTTAAAAATAATATTCAAAGGAATTTAGTAAATTTCAGGAATTTTGCTATTTATGGAAATAATTGAATTTTTTAGAAGAAATTTTTCAGTTTCTAGAAATGATTGAATTCTTTCGACGAATTTTAATAAAAATAATTACATTTTTTCGAGGAATTCGGTTAAAATTGTATTAAAAATAATTGAAACTCTGCAATGAGTTTTACTATTTACTAAAATAATTGAATATATTGCGAATAAAATTTTAAAAATAAAATTGTAACTTCGGTGACTAACTTCCCTTGATTATTTTCGATAAATTTAAATAAAATTCTATAAAAAAATTTAATTATTTTTAATAGAATGAATGCAAAGAAATTTCAATTATTTCAAAAATTTGAAATTATTTGTTTATAAAAATTCAATTATCTTGAAACAATAGAATCAAAAAATTTCAAAAATCTTATTTTTCAGAATTTTCAAAAAAACTTTGCGAAAATTTAATTTTATTAAAAAATTTGAATGTGACTCTTTATAAAATTCAATTATTCATCAAATTATTAAATTAAAATACTTTGAAAATTTGATTTGTTAAAAAGTTTATAGGTAATTAAATTCTTTAACAAATTGAATTATTTTCGGTTGAATTTCACAAAATTTCTATTAATTCGATTGTTTTTTTAAAAATTTATTTACATACTGTATTTGAATCAGTGACTGATTTTTTACTGTCAAATTAATTATTTTTAACTATAATTAAAATTTAGAGAACAGTATAAATATCTATATAAAAATTGAAATAAAATGCGTTTTTTTTAAAACAAATTAATTAGTAACTATTTCATTAATAATATATTACTATTTGAATCAGTGACTGACTTTTCTTCAAAATGTTTAAACCGTAATTTTAATGACAATCTTAAAACAGAAAAACATGAAATTAAAATAAAAAATATCTTTTTAAATCTAAAAATACTTATATTTTCTGCGCTGTAGATAAATTTAATGGCTTAAATAATTCAGTTTTTTATGAAGTTTATTTCGTATGATATAATGTCAAATGTTATATTTGTTTTACTTAACAAAAATTTTATTTTTTTTTCTTTGTTAGACTAAAATTTTGTGAAAATGGTTAGTAAATTTATTCACCTCTTTGGTACTATTATATTATTAGGTGTGGGACTGTTTAATTATTATATTGATGATTCTAATTACATTGATGAAAATGTGACACCTACTTTTACTGCTGATCCGAACCAAGTTCCAAAGTCAGAAATGTTATATTCTAACACTTCGAAGATTTATCGAAAAACAGTAAATTACAAATTAATACCTTTCAATTTAAAAACGTTTCAAGGACCATTACTTTTTATCATCCAAATTTAGAAAAAAAATTTATTTTCTCTCTTCAGTATTGCCAAAAAACACTCCTCATATGACTGTAATATCTTTGAAAAGAGAAAAAACCAAACTATCAATTTTTATTAAAAGAAAAAAATAACAATAAAAAAAAGTTTTCTAAAAATTAAATTTTTCCTAACTATAAAACATAAAGATATCGATGACTCCGAGTCTTCGACTCGGAGTGATCGATTCCTTCATGTTTTATAATAATTAAAGATGACCGAGTGATAAAATCATTATCAATTCAATTATTATTTTCAAGAATTTTTAACTAAAATTCTTCTTTTAATCAATTATTTTTAATAATTTTCGAAAAATTTCTTTAACAATTTTCAAATCTATTTGTTTACAATATTCAATTTCACGAAATTTCAATTATTCGTGAATTCTTCAATTAAATATATATTACAAAATAAAAACTTCAAATAATATAAAAAATCGGCAATTAAACTTTCTCAAAAAAATTAATTTCAAAATTTAATTATTTTTAAAAATTCAAGCTATATTGCTTTTAATATTTAATATTCATTTTTTAATTATATTAAATAATTGAATATTTCTTAAAATTCTATTCCCATAAAGAATTTTTTCAACAAATTTTTAAATAATTGAATTCTTTCGTCGAATTTAAAAAAAATTAAAGAATAATGACATTTTTCGAGAAATTCGATAAAAATTGTATTAAAAATAATTGAAATACTTCGATGAGTTTTATTATTTGTGAAAATAATTAAATCCCGAAGAAGAATTTTATTATTTTTGAGAAATATTTATTTATTTTAATACAAAAAGAAATAATTTATTGAATAATTGTATGTTACTTAAAATTCAATTATCATAAAGAATTTTATCAACAAATTTTAAAATAATTGAATTCTTTTGACGAATTTTAATAGAATTTTAAAGAATAATTACATTTTTCTAGAAATTCGATTAAAATTGCGTTAAAAATAATTAAAATTCAGAAATGAGTTTTATTATATATAAAAATAATTGAATTCCTAAAAAGAATTTTATTATTTACTAAAATAATTGAATCCCTGTAAAAATTGTAGTATTTATGAAAATAATTAAATTGTTACGAAGAAATTTATAAAAAATCTGTAAATAATTGAATTTCTGTGAAATTTTTATTATTTTATGAAAACAATTAAATGTTTGCGTAAAATTTTATTAAATTTTTTTTAAACAATTGAATCCTTTTAAAAAATTTTATTACAATAGTATAGATATTAAAAATCATTGAAAACAGGAAAATTTTTGAAAATAATTGAAATTTTGCCAACAATTTTATTTACCAAATTTTTAGAAAATATTGTTTCTAAAGATAATTGAAATTTCCACGAAAATATAAAAAAAATTTTGAACTTTATTGAATTTCTGCAAAGAATTTTATTACCTCTGAAAATAATTGAATTTCTGCAATAATTGAACCGCCGGATCGTAGAAGGGCATATAGCCAATGTAATTCAAATGGGCTATATGCCCTTCTACGATCCGGCGGTTCAATTTGTAACTTTTCCAAAATTAAATTTTGCTTCCTGTTTTTAACTAAAATTCTTCTCTAAACACTATTTTTAATAATTTTTGAAAAAGTTTTTTGAGTATTTTCAAATTTATCCACGCTTTTAATATTCAATTATAATATAAAATTTCAACTGAAATTCGTTTTTAAATCAATTTTTAATAGGAAATTCTACTAAAATCCAATTATTTTAATACAAAAATAAATAATTTATTGAATAATTGAATGTTTCTTAAAATCCATTCGATTAAAATTATGTTATAAAAATAATTGAAATTCAACAATGAGTTTTATTATTTATGAAAATAATTGAATTATAGCGAAGAATTTTATAAAAAAGTTTCAAACAATTGATTTCTTTCGAAAAAATGTATGCAAATTCTATTTTTAATCATTGTATTCCAATGAAATTTTTATTTTTTTTTGAAAAATAATTAGATATACTTGTAGAATTTTATCAAAATTTTTGTTTAATAATTGAATTCTTTTGGGAAATTTTATTAAAATCATAGAATATTGAAAATCATTGAAAAGAGACAAATTTTTGAAAATAATTGAAATTTTGCCAACAATTTTATTTACCAAATTTTTTGAAAATAATTGAATTTCGAAGATGAATATTTTTATTATTTCTAAAAATAATTGAAATTTCCACAAAAATTAAAAAAAAAATTTTGAACATAATTGAATTTCTGCGAAGAATTTTATTACCTTTGAAAATAATTGAATTTCTGCATTTATTTGTAATTTCTCTAAAATTCTCTAAATTATATACATCGTACAATTTACGAACTTTTCGTTCTTTTTCAATCAAATTATGGACTTTACTTTACAAAATCTAAAAAAAATCCCCGACTAACGAGTTTGAAGCAAATTTGGCTAATTTTAAAAATTTTTGGTCGCTTTCTATGTAAAATTGGGAAACAGTAATATTAATATTTACAATATTATTTTATTGCAGTCAAAAATTGAGAGAAGTACAATATCAAGAGAAAATGAAACAATTCCAAAAAATAATAACTTAAATGAAGTTAATAATAAGACATATCCACAAGATATAAATATCAAGAATCATTTGAAAACTGCTATTGAATATTTCGACAAACTTTTAAACCTCGAAGAGTGCAATGAAAGACCCAATAGCAATAATTTAGAAACTAGTGAATCAAATTTTACAAGAGTACTAACTTTGATTAGTGACAGTGCACTTAATTATTATGTATCTCAGAAAGGTTATATTTTTTTTAAAAGTCTAAAGCCACAAAATATAGCTACAGAAATATTAAAATTAATGCCATTAAACTGTGAACCACAACTGAATGCAAATAAAGAAATATTTGAAACATACAATCAAGTATTTAAAGAATATTATAGAAATTTTCCAAATGAATACGATGATCCTAAATATAGTGAATGCTATTTAGAGAGTATTTTGGAACTGAAAAATAATATTCTCAGTAATTCAGGAGAACATAGCAACAGATTACAAAAAATAAAAGAATGTATCGCATTAAAGGTAATATGAACACGAAAAAATTTTTGTTTAAAATTTAAAAATATTTAATTTAATATACTGCTAAGAAATTTAAACAACTTATTAACATTTTTAATAATATATAATTGCAGGAGAAAATTAAGGAAAAATTTACACATAGATCTGGTCATTTCACAACATAATGGCGAATATCACAATAACAAGATGGGTGAAGTTCATTACATTAACATTTTGCTTCCTTTTTACGATCAGCAAAAAAATTTTCTTCCTCGTGGAGGAAGTAATAACATTTTATATCATTCTTTGGAAAATGTCTTTTAGAAATTGATACAGTATATTTAGTAAATTAAAATGAAAGAAGTTTTTAAAAGAATAAGTAATTTTAATTAATTAGCTTTAATCCTGAATAAAGAAAAAATAGGGTTGCCACAAAAATTTTATTTTCCCTGGCGGGCGGGTTTCACTGAATATCTACTGAATTCGGTAGACGTTCGGTATACGTTCGGTAATTGGTCGAAAAATTCAATAAAAAAGCATAGAATGTTGAAATAAACTATTGAAAATAATAAATGGAGTATTAAAGTGTAAATTTATCCAACATTTAGGGTAAATTATGTTGTAAATAATTAAATATTAATGTGTAAAGTGTAAAAGTGCTAATGTGACAGTTGAAATAGTGTGTGAAATTTATTAATTTGTAATGAAAATAAGAATAGAATGCTAAAAAAAGCAATCAATATATATTCTTTGATATGTAATGTATTTAATTCATTATATAGTTTTGTTAATTGTTGCATATTAACAATAAAAACATTAATTAAAGTAATAATTTTTTCTACCAATGTAAAGTGTCGATAACATGGAGTGTAGAGAAAGGTAGCCGCGCTCAACACACGCTAGGTGGCAATACTCACGATTTCCTTGTCTGAATCGTCTGAATATTTAATTTACAATTTAATTAAATACTATTAAAATAGACCAAATTATCAAGAAAACTAAAGAGTCAATTATAGAAAATATTGATTTAATATTCATGATTAACATTTATGCACGATTTATTATAAAACTTTTTGAAAACAATTATAATTCTTTGTATATGGGCAATTCCACGTAAAATTTCAGTCGACCTTTAGAATCGGCAAAACATACTTTTTTCTTTTCTATATTGAAAAAAACCGGAGAGGTATCTTTTTCTAGGACAAATTTTTGAGTTATGAATTTTCAAAATTTTCGTTTTTTAAATGCAGATCTATTTTTAATGTCGAATAACTAAAAAATATTGTTTATTTTTATTTTTTGACAAGAGAAAAAAGTTTTGTTCTTCCCTGTACTATTCAATAATGATAACAATATTTTTTTATGTTTTATTAAAAAAATAAAAAATTTTTATAAACAAATTAGGTTTTTTTTAACTTTGGGTATGACAAATTTTTCTTCTTTAAAAAACATACCTAAAAATGCTGGAAAGTTAACAAATAAGAATATTTGTAGAAAAAATAATGTTTCCTTTTTTTCCATTGCCATGGAAAACAATTCAAAACATATGTAAATTCTCTCAAAAACTTAAAAAACTTATTAGCACAAACAATTATATTTGTTATAAAAAAAATTATTTACTTCTTAAACGAATTAATAATTGCTTCTTTCTGAAAAAATTAATATAAAACATTTTTAAAATTCAATTACAGGCAAACCTCTCTAAGGCGGAAAGCAATTTTTAGTGGCCAAAAGTTTTTATTTTCTTTTTAGGGGGTTGAGACTAAATGTTAAATTTTTAAAAAATGAAATATATTCACCATTTTTTTATTAAGGCAACGAATCAAAGAATTGCTTTTTGTAAATAGGAGGAGTTTAAATATTATTTTTATTGGCCAAAACTTTTTATTTTATTTTCAGGGGGTTGAGACTAAATGTTATATTTAAAAAAAAATGAAATATATTCACCATTTTTTTAAATAAGGCAACGATTCAAAGAATTGCTTTTTGTAAATAGGAGGAGTTTAAATATTATTTTTATATAAATATTATTTTATTTTTTTAAATAATATTTAAACTCCTCCTATTTACAAAAAGCAATTCTTTGATTCGTTGCCTTCATAAAAAAAAATGGTGAATATATTTCATTTTTTTTAAATTTATCATTTAGTCTCAACCTTCTAAAAAGAAAATAAAAATTTCTGGCCACTAAAAATAATATTTAAACTCCTCCTATTTACAAAGAGCAATTCTTTGATTCGTTGCCTTATTTAAAAAAATGGTGAATATATTTCATTTTTAAAAAATTTTAATTTTAGTCTCAACCCCCTGAAAAGAAAATAAAAAGTTTTGGCCAATAAAAATAATATTTAAACTCCTCCTATTTACAAAGAGCAATTCTTTGATTCGTTGCCTTAATAAAAAAATGGTGAATATATTTCATTTTTTAAAAATTTAACATTTAGTCTCAACCCCCTGAAAAGAAAATAAAAAGTTTTGGCCAATAAAAATAATATTTAAACTCCTCCTATTTACAAAAAGCAATTCTTTGATTCGTTGCCTTAATAAAAAAATGGTGAATATATTTCATTTTTTAAAAATTTAACATTTAGTCTCAACCCCCTGAAAGGAAAATAAAAAGTTTTGGCCAATAAAAATAATATTTAAACTCCTCCTATTTACAAAGAGCAATTCTTTGATTCGTTGCCTTATTTAAAAAAATGGTGAATATATTTCATTTTTTTTTAAATATAACATTTAGTCTCAACCCCCTAAAAAGAAAATAAAAACTTTTGGCCACTAAAAATAATATTTAAACTCCTCCTATTTACAAAAAACAATTCTTTGATTCGTTGCCTTAATAAAAAAATGGTGAATATATTTCATTTTTTAAAAATTTAACATTTAGTCTCAACCCCCTGAAAAGAAAATAAAAAGTTTTGGCCAATAAAAATAATATTTAAACTCCTCCTATTTACAAAGAGCAATTCTTTGATTCGTTGCCTTATTTAAAAAAATGGTGAATATATTTCATTTTTTAAAAATTTGAAATTTAGTCTCAACCCCGTGAAAAGAAAATAAAAAGTTTTGTCTTAGAAGAAAAATACCTTTCCGGTTTTTTTCAATATAGAAAAGAAAAAAGTATGTTTTGCCGATTCTAAAGGTCGACTGAAATTTTACGTGGAATTGCCCATATACAAAGAATTATAATTGTTTTCAAAAAGTTTTATAATAAATCGTGCATAAATGTTAATCATGAATATTAAATCAATATTTTCTATAATTGACTCTTTAGTTTTCTTGATAATTTGGTCTATTTTAATAGTATTTAATTAAATTGTAAATTAAATATTCAGACGATTCAGACAAGGAAATCGTGAGTATTGCCACCTAGCGTGTGTTGAGCGCGGCTACCTTTCTCTACACTCCATGTTATCGACACTTTACATTGGTAGAAAAAATTATTACTTTAATTAATGTTTTTATTGTTAATATGCAACAATTAACAAAACTATATAATGAATTAAATACATTACATATCAAAGAATATATATTGATTGCTTTTTTTAGCATTCTATTCTTATTTTCATTACAAATTAATAAATTTCACACACTATTTCAACTGTCACATTAGCACTTTTACACTTTACACATTAATATTTAATTATTTACAACATAATTTACCCTAAATGTTGGATAAATTTACACTTTAATACTCCATTTATTATTTTCAATAGTTTATTTCAACATTCTATGCTTTTTTATTGAATTTTTCGACCAATTACCGAACGTATACCGAACGTCTACCGAATTCAGTAGATATTCAGTGAAACCCGCCCGCCAGGGTTATTTTTCCCTGACTTCCAAAGAAATTTTTGACTTTTTCCCTCACCTTAAAGAATATTCTAATTCACTCTAAAAATGATTAGATATACTCAAAAAAACATTCTATTATATTTACTTACGAATCTATTTAATTGTAAAATTATTCGAAAACAATAACTTTTTTTTAAATATAAATATTTAATTATTATTAATTTTCCATGAGAATTAAGATTTACAAAAATTTTAAATTCAAACCTTCTTCAAAATCAACAACTTATAACAATTAAAGATGACGGAGTGATAAAATTATTATTTTCTATTCTAAAAATATTGTTACTGTAACTTCTTCAAAACTACTTTTATCATTTCAATTCAATTATTATTTTCTAGAATTTTTAACTGAAATTCCTGATAAATAAATTATTTTTAATAATTAAAAAAATATAATAATAATTAAATAATAAAAAATTTCGATTATTACGAAATTCTTCAATTAAGTAGGTATAGGTATATCCTTTCTTTTTTCTTTTTTTTTTTTTTTTAAATGACTTCAGGCTTAGCCAACTGTCAGAACACACACTCTTATATACCAACTTGTTTTTGCGTTTCTACAGAACGACTTTGAGGTTAGGAGTACTCGCATTTGCCTAGACCACCCGTCAATGGGTTTTCTCGCCAGTGGAGAGGGAAACTGTAGAAAACCTCTCCGAGTACAACCGGTTTATCGACAGTCGAATTCTAATGGTGTGTACCGGACAATAATCGACGGTGCAACATCATTATACTTCGACGTCAAACCTCCCGCTCAGATTATCTCACGTGCCGGAAAAATCCCAGGCTAATGGGCGCGAACCAAGTACCCTTGGTCCGCCCACCGAGCCAGGCATCTATCCGACCGAGCTAATCTGTCGGTATATATCCTTTCTTAAAAAAGACATGGAGTGGAAAGGTCGAATGTATCGAAAAGTATCGAAGTAAAGAATGGGCAATGAGAATGTAAAATCTTAATAGAAGGGTGTTTTTAAAATTGTTTGTACATGTGAAGGTGGCGCTGCAGTCGTATGTTATTTAAAAAGAGCGCGAATATATAAATTTTATTTTTGTTAAGAGAAAGTACTCATAATAAATCTTATTTTGCATTGTCAAAAAAAACGTCAACATTTCAAATATAAATAAGCAAATTATTAACTGAAAAAATTTGAATATTATTATTAATGGAATAATGGACTTGGACAATGGACATATAAAAATTAGCACCGTAGACGGCCGCTTGCGGCCGTCGGAGGAGCTATATTAGAAAATAAAAACTTTAAGTTGTTTAAAAAAAAATTCAATTAAATTTTTTCAAAAAAATTAATGGTACAGAATTGTTAGTTAAAAGTATGTAAAATTCAAATTTTCAAATATTTTAATGTAAAATCTTTTAAAAATTCAATTATTTATAAATTGCATGCCTTAATGTTTTTAATATTCAATATTATTATATAAAAATTTACTTGAAATTAATTTTCAAATCAATTTTTATTATAGAAAATTCTACGAGAATTGAATTCTCATAAAGAATTTTATCAACAAATTTTTAAATAATTGAATTCTTTTGACAAATTTTACTTTAATAAAATTTTCTAAATTAATTACATTTTTTGAGAAATTCGATTAAAATCGTATTAAAAATAATTAAACTTCTGCGATGAATTTTATTATTTTATGAATATATATAATGGGTATTTATTGCCCGTGTATTATTATTATAAATAAAATTGAATTGAATGTTTGCAAAGAATTTTATAACAATTTTCTTTAAATAATTAAAACTTTTTTAAATAATTGAATTCCTTTTGGAAATTTTTCATTAAAATAGTGAATATGAAAAATAATTGAATTCTTTTGAAAAATTTTATCAGAATTTTTAAAAATAATTGAATTTTTTTGAAGAATTTTTTATTGTAAATTTTGAAAATAATTGAATTTTGGAGAAGAATTTTATCATTTATAAAGATAACTAAAATTTTGACGAAAATTTGTAAAAATTTTTGAACAGAATTGAATTTTTGATAAGACTTTTATTACTTTTGAAAATAAATTAATTTCTGCAATCTTTTTATTAGAATACGTGGTAATGTTATAGTTTATGAGTCAAACAAAAAAGATACAAAAATTAGGAATTTTCTTATGAATTCTAAAAATTTTATTTTGAAATGAAAAAATCGATAACTCTCTAGTCTTTGAGTCGGAGTGATCCATTTCTTCATGTTTTATAATAATTAAAGATGACCAAGTGATAAAATCATAAGGTAGGTATCAATTCAATAATTATTTTCAAGAATGTTTAACTAAAATTCTTCTTTAAATCAATTATTTGAATAGACAATATTCAATTTTACGAAATTTCAATTATTCATAAATTCTTCAATTAAATAAATATTAAAAAATAATATAAAAAAAATTCAATTATTTCTAAAAATGAACGCTCTATTGCTTTAATTAAAAATAATTGAAATTCTGCGATGAGTTTTATTATTTGTGAAAATAATTGAATCCCTAAGAAGAATTTTATTATTTTTGAACAATATTTAATTTTTGCGAAGAATATTATTACTCTTGAAAATAATTGAATTTCTGCAATAATAATTTGTAGCTTTTCCAAAATTAAATTTTTTTCCCTGTTTTTAACTATAATTCTTCTATAAATGCATTATTTAAAATAATTTTTGAAAAAGTTCTTTGAGAATTTTCAAAGTTATTTGTTTAAAATTCAAGTTTACAAAATTTCAATTATTTGTAAATTCTTCAAATAAATATATTACAAAATAAAAACTTCAAAAAATATAAAAAAAATTCAATTAAACTTTTTCAAAAAAATTAATTCCACAGAATTGTTAGTTAAAAATATGAAAAATTCAGATTTTCAAAGATTTTATATTGAAACTTTTTCAAAATTCAATTATTTTTAAAAATTCACGCTCTAATTAATAAATAATATTTAAATCAATTTTTATTCGAAAATTCGAATAGAATTCAATTATATAAAAGAAAACAATATATTGAATATTTGCATGT